ATTCTTGCTTAGGTTTCTATCCTATGCTAGGCGCAGCTGCAACCCTTTATCAAACTATGTCAAGGTCAACGGACAGAAGCCTCATCACCACCTGGAGATGCTGGTGGTGCACAACTTTTAATTGGATGAGCCAATTGAACTATTGGGGGTGGGAACCTTGCCATCGCTTTGCATATGTGATTTACGCGCCCATTTTCTCAGATTCAGGATTCTTTTGTTGCTACCACTTGACTTCCAGTAAAAGATAATCTTTTCTCTGATTAAAGGAGTCCAAGTCTTTCTTTCTTGGATTTTGAATGGAGCCCCAGCTGACATAAAGAAGCTCAGAATGGGCCCCTCCCTTTCCTGGACGAGATGGGGATACCTTCCCCCAGTTTTTGCCACATGATGCAATCACACTTGGTAAAGTAATTGTGTGCCGTGGTTCTTTCACCTAATTGTTGTCCCGTTCTTTTTCCTACAGCTCACCAGAATGGTCTGGTTTCCTTACGTCAGGACTCATATGGACCCAGAGCGAGCTTCATAAATTAAAGAGTGGGATTCAGCATTTTTGAGCAGGAGATTCTTTATTAATGATATAACACAATGGGAGGTTTTCCTTGCCACTCAAGGAACAATACTGTGCCTGCCTGCTCTTTGAAAGTTCTCTTTGGTGCAATGCAGCTACTTCTCCATCATAGATATTCCCCCTGGACATTTCAGGGCTGTGAAGAAGCAGGCACACTTAATCCACACAACAGATCTGCCCATTGCTAAAATTCATTTTTGTATTTTTAAAAAATAATTAAATGTTTTAATATTTTTAATAGATAGTGTGTGCTTTTTATTTAAAAAAGCATGTGAGTCATATGGTATATCATTGTTGCTCTGTTTAGGTTCCCTTAAGGTTTTTAAAAAACAATTTTAAAATATATACTTGCTCTTTATCCGGATCTGGACTTCGGAACACATGTAAGCTTATTGTGAAGACATCTATGAAATCACAAGTGGGATTTGTTTTTTACAGAGGAAACAAAGAAGTTGTTTCAGAGTCTGAGTGGATCATTTATTGAATACACATTAATTATTTATAATTACTTATTTATTATAAAGCATCTCTACAAAGAGTGTTACATAGAAATTGGAACTATTCCAACAACGGTAGGGAAAAGTCCTAAGATAAGGATTGAATAATCATTCTTACCTAGACTGGTCCCTAGAAACCAAAGGATCAAGCAGGTTAGAATGGTAAGCAGGTTAAGTGATTGTTAGCATCCTCAAAGACTGCAAGAACAAAGTGCATCCATGGAGAAGTAGCAGCCTATGAAAGAGGATAAAAAAAGAAACACCATCCAACAACAAACAGCTGTTTGTTCTAAGATTGGTTATGATTCTTGCAAAGCCGCACAAGGTAGTTTAACTTATTAACTAACTAGAGGGCACCACTGGGCAAGTCATCAAACAAGTCCAATGTGCTAAGCATTCAATAAGTATACTGTTTTCTCACCCTTATTTGGCAGCTCAGAACAGTGCCACAAAAACTGTCCCTCTTTCAAGTAGGTCTGTATAAAGACGGATGCTACTGGTAGAGGGGAGAGACAATTAACACACTGACAAGTGTTTTTGCTCTGTGGTCAGTGACCACCAGAAAGCAACCAAGATAATTTAAGGCCAAGCTAGGAACATCACTGGTTTGATAAAGCGATATTTACAACCAACCGCCTGCAAATATATGTCAATGCAATATGCAAAAGCGTGAACTGTCTCGTAAAGAAAAAAACGGGGGTCTCTCCCAGAGGCTAACCTTCTGGAGCTTGGCCATTTCAGTTAAAAAGCATGCTTTCTCAAAAAGAAAGGCCTTGCCCATTAATGCTTACATGCAGCTACAGATATAAATAAGCACTGCAGTTTATAGTATTTACAAGACGTGCATGCCAGCCCTAACCCAGAGCTAGTGACATTTCCTGGTGCCTACGTTCCTTTTCCCTTATTCTGCTATCCAAAGAAGGGGTTGAGAGGCTACCACTTGCAATGTACTGTCTGCTCCTTGCATTTATGAAAGTCATTGTCACACCTCTCACTGCAGGGATGGGCAACTTTATGACCTGTGGACTTCAACTCCCAGAATTCCTAAGCCAGCCTGGCTTAGGAACTCTGGGAGTTGAAGTCCACAGGTCATAAAGTTGCCATAGTGGTCCACCCCTGTCTTATTGGATCAGGGCAATTAAAGTAGATCTTCACTCTTTGTCATTGAGACTTACCTTATATTTGGGTCAACAGAAAAAAACCCAAAGATTTTTTTAATATATTTTTTGGAACAATTAAAGAGTAATGTTAAATTCTATCGATGAAAAATGTACACTACTGTAAATACTACAGAGGGTCTAACAGTAGTTAGAAGCTATACAAGCAAAAAAGGATTACTAAATATTTACATAATCACTGAAGCTCACATTTCAAAATTATTTCATCTATCCCAGTTCTCAGTAGTTTAGCAAACAGTATTAAGCATTGATATAACAATATATTACAGAAAATTCAAATGCAAATAAATACTTTATAGGATGGGGTTTTCTAGTTTTTCAAGATAGACAGAGATACTATAGCCATCTGATACACAAATTAATAAATAAATAAATACTGTGCTCTCAAAAAGAGCATTTAAAAGCAAAATGTATTTACAGTATAGGCAGTTTTTATATATATATATACCATCCCTTCTGTATAAGAAGAAATTTAGCATTGAGAGATGAAGGCAGTGAAATGTCAGTTTGGAACTGGTATTAAAAAGTCCAGACAGAAAGAAGTACATTGATTTAACAAATGCTACAACAGTTCCAGAGAAAAATAATTAGCAGCAAAAAAAAACCAGACGCTATTATAAAATTGCCATTCACTCCTTGCTTTTACAGATTAGATTTTAAAATCATTTTTTACAAAATAATTAATTCCTTCCTTGAGGAAAAGAGGTGCTACTGATAGTACACCACTTACTCTCCATAGCATTACTTCTCAAAAAAGCACACAAGAGACTTATAACATTTTTAATATATTCCTAATATATAGTATATAATATATAGCTTTTACTGACAGTAAAATATTTTCATCCTTAATTTAAAAAAAACAGTAGCTTTTGTTCAGCATTTGGTGTGCTGAAAGATTCTGCTACAGTTGTCTACAAGATTATCTTATAATAGAGATAAAATGGAAAACATCTATTTTATGCATATAGAAATTGGATTCCATGCAAAAAAAAATATGAGCACACAAAATTTCAACACTGAACTGAAAAGCCATACTTCTATAATGATCCTGTTGAAAACAAAAGCGGGATATACAGCACTTTGACTATCAATAGCCATGTATAAATATGAATATAAGCCTTATTAACATGAGTATTTTACCAAAAAATTCTCTGCAAGAATGTATTAATAAATAGACAATATATAATTTATGCAGCATAATGCTCTTAAATGTACACACACTAGCGGTGCGCATTATAGTAATAAAATGGAATTCAAAATTTGCCTTTTTTGTTTCTATAAATTGTTAAGTGCCCATTTTAAATAAAAAGATTTATAATCCTCCATGAGCTACTCCCCTTTGACACACAGTGTCACAAACATAGTGATGAAAATACAATATTGAGCTAATCTAGAGATGGCTTTTATACATGTTTTATACAATCAAGAAAGATACAATTTGTATCAACAAACAAAAAGTCGTTTCTGGTTATTTGAGGTGTTGCTCTCAGCTACTTTTAAAAGAGAAGAAATCTCCCCCCCAAAAAGTGGGTTTTGTCCTCATTGATAAAAGGGTCTAGATAACTCAAGGTTGTTGGGCTTTTCTACAACTAAAGGGCCAAATATCACGAAGAATATTCAGGGCAGACTAACCAAAGGGCTAATCTGCATTTTTCTTTGGTGCTTCTTAAAAGCACTGGATAAAAGCATGGTGCACCACCCAAACTCAATCTAATCAGCAGCCACAACAGACAAAGCCACCGTGTGCCAGCAGCAATTTGAAAAAAGCTGTACCATGACAAATGCAGGGTGTCAGATGATCCACCACCATTTTCCTACAGGCTTGTCTTTAAAATCAGAAGACAGCCCTGTGGAAGAGCAAACATGCTACAGGCAGGTGACACAGTCTCTTGTGGTTGGAAAGTTGTTAGGATGAATTACTGTCCATCTTCTCTTTAGAGCAGTGTTTCTCAGACTTAGCAATTTTAAGACGAATGGATTTCAACTCCCAGAATTCATATTGGCTGGGGAATTCTCAGAGTTGAAAGCCACACTTTTTAGAAGTTGCCCAGGTGGAGAAACACTACCCTGGAGAGATGCTGCCCCTAGGCAGCCTTCTTTAATATATTCAGCAGAATCTCAATAATCTAAACAAGTTCTTTCTTGTTAGTATCATTGCACAATTATGCTTATTGTGGATCCCAAGATAGAATCACCACCCTGCCGGTTAGTGATTGTCACCCCTGTCTAGATCCACTTTGAATATCCTATATGATGCCAAACAAAAATAAAGCAGACCTTCTGGGCATTACTGGCAATTATTCCGGCAATGTGAAACACCCTTTGGACTATCCCTCACACCCCAATCCCCTGGGTCTGAAAACAAAAATTCAGAAAGCAGCTTAGGAGCCATTCTCAAAACACCAGAAACAACCCTGACGGCAGCCTCGCGTTCCACGTGTTTCCTAGTCAGAAACATTTAGGCAGTGTCACACCTTCTCATGAAGAAACCAAAGGCCAGTAACTCGGCCTTCTCGACTTTCATGAAAAAAACTACAGTAGAAGTCAACAAGTCCTAGCTCGAGACATATCGAGTTAGTAATGGTTCAAAATGTTCAAAGACATATTTGGATTTAAAAAGGGTGTCCACTCAGTGCAGCTTTAAAAAAAGAAAATGGAAAAGCTACTACACCTGGATAAATGTCTCTTAGGGGGAGACATTTAGCTACAAAGTTGCCCGTTCTTGAGCAAAAATACCCAACATTTGCTGAGATGATTTGAGCCAGTCAAACAGCTCCAAAGAAGCAAATGCATACCTTTGCATGGATCCGAAAGTGAAAAATCGAAACAAGTTTATCAATTGTACAGCATCGACTCCATCTTTTATAATCAACATTTAATCTTTTTAAAAAAACATGTTTACTCATTTTGTACTTAGTTGTACTTGGGCTAAACTGAAATGTGAAATTTGATCTGCGATGCTACAATTATACCTACCACCTCTGGATTGTAAAGAATTGAACTGTACAATTAATCATATTTTAAAACCCACACCTGCCAATTTTAACAAGATTTATATGGAAATGGGATGGTTAAGATTTAGCTGAGAATGGTCCTACTTGCTTTCATGTCATTGTTTGACATGGGTGGCCTTGTCCCAAAGGGCATGATCTAAAAGACCTCCCCCCAAATCCAAAGCACCCCATTAGTTGTGCATCCATGCAATGAGCCCCCCCACGCCCCCCAATCTGTGTTTCTATTTTCCTCACTTGGAGAGTAAAGATTTCTCCAGTGAGCACAAACCTAAGTTGCCAGAGCACTGAGAGTTGTTCAGATCAGAAGCGCTCACCGTGAACCACTAAGACACAGCAACTGATGGGGCTTCGGGGAAGCTCTTTGAAAGAGATGGACCAGAACAGGCCAACCTTCAGTGTGTGAGGATGTTCAAATGTACACAGCACATTTTCCTTGGAGCACCTTGTCAGTTAACACTGGAAACTACAAAATTCACTCATGCAATATAATTGCTAATAAGTTTGAGGGACTCACTTCAAACATAGGACCTTTTGGATTCAAGAAACAATATATATCCATGCAAAAAGTATGCACTTCCTGTAAAATACACCTTTTTTTAAAAAAATCCCAGCTTTAAAAAATTATTTAATACTTACTTGTAATACAATCTGCTTTTTACAGAATTCTTCAACCACATATTCAGTGCAAATGCCAAAACAATGTACAGAATGGTATACCACAGCGTGAAACTATTCCCGAAATAGAGAATATCTCTATAGGATCACGGGGACCTCCTGCAGGATGCTGGTCTGGTGTAGTCAGTATTTCTCTCCAAGAATCCAAAGGGATACCCTGCTAACGTCCTGTTCTCAATTTGGCAACAATCATAGCTGCCAACTGTTGTGCATCAGTCATGTGTGGATTCTTCTCCATCACGGACAAGACGACGCCAGCAGGAAAAATATTACAGAGGTTCTTATAGGTCTGGTACTGATGCTCTGGGATGACGCAAGGTTCTTGGGGCTCCCCACAAACCCCAATCCAAGGGTTACGCCAGAGTTGTTCCATCTTCTCAGGCATGCTCCTCACCATGACGGGCTCATAACACGGCTGCATGAGGTTGTTGCTCAAGGGATAGGAATGGTAAGAGTAGGCATCGGTTGCACATGGTAACGGATCCCAGCTGGCGTGTTGCTCTCGACAGAGTGGGGGCCTCCTCTGCCGAGTAGGGTTGCTTTCGTAAAGTCTTGAATCAGAAACACTATCCATCCTGGTCATAACTAGTGCACGGCTCGGTTGGGCCGTGGCTGATGATGGGTGAACATTTGGAGGCCCTGGGTAGTCTCCTGGGCAACTGGATCGAGCCCCAACAAGAGGGTGTTGGACATGTAGTGCTAAATGAGAAGCTGAATGCTTGTGTGGAGTATGTTTGGACCTTTCACTGCCGTAGCTCTGAACTCTAGTTAAACTCTCGTGGTAGCCATGAGAAAAAGGCTGAAGTCGGTTTTGCGGTGGAATTCGAGGAACTTTAGCGTGATCCTCTGAACTCACATCTCCTACCCCCAGGTACAGGTCGGTATACGAAGAGTAAGAGTCATTACTTGCATGGCTTAAGCAACTGTCAGGACACGGACTTGAATTTCTTGAGTAGACATCTTGGTCTAGATCAACTCCATAATAATCCGTGTTATGGATGTTGCTAATGTTCAAACTGGAAAAGTCGTTGAGCATAGAATAATAGCCGTGGTCTCCCAAAGATTCGTATTTGGGGTATGGGTCCGTGTAGTTGATCGAAGCCCCATGGCTGTTGGTGACCAGGATTGGAGGGTAGTGCATGCTGGTCATGTGTTCTAGGGAGGATTTCTGATGGATGAACTGAGAAGATGACCCAGGCACGGGGCTACTCGCTGACCGCGCATTTAAGGCCCCAACTGCATGGCTTTTAGGAGGTGGGAGCGTTGGGACACTTAATGCCGTAACAAGAGATGGGACAGAGCTGGCCTCAGGCTTCCGCATCATCGACAGCCGGTTCTCCGGTTCCACCGCTACAGACCGGATGCTTGGATCAGACTGGCGTTTCGGAGGATTGCGCTTCACTTCTGAAATGTTCTCACCCCCTTTGCAAAAGGCTGGCCCTGAACCACATTTGGCCAAGGCACCTTCACTCATGGTTTTCACCGCAGATAATTTTGCACTGATGCGAAGCTCATCTGCGACAGATCTCAAGGGCTGGTTTGTCCGTTCAGGGTGGTAATATTTACATTTGTGCCCATATGTGCATTTTTTCCCTGGGGGAAAAAAATCCTCTCTGATTAGGCATGTTCTTTGCCAACTATATGTCTTAACTGGATAACCCTAGTGAAATCTTTTGCTCTTACCACAAAAACATAAAATAAGACATTGGTATTTTCTTACATCATGATGTTCAGAATTTTCCTTATTAACAGATCCAAATTCTTGTCAAGGTTTTAATTCGAGTGACAATGCTCCATGAAGGAAGCTAGAGCAGGCTCCACAAATAAATGCATTCATTTAAATGTTCACTCAAAATGATGTCACTAAATGCTTTGGGGTTACAAACTCTCAGCTAAATTAGGACACAGTTTTGTTGTGATAGTATTATGCTAAGTGATCAAAGAGAATCATTAGGATCTATTCCTATCTAAAAACAACATGAATGAAGGTGCATATACATGTTCCAGGATAATGCTGCAGGATCCGATCTGGATTGGTCACCCAGGACCAGAGGCTTTGACTTCCAGGCTTTTGGACTCATGCTGGAGCTTCAGGGAACTTCTCTCTAGCCAAGTGTGTGCACAAAAGCAGCCAGGGAAGTGACCGGAGCCGGAGAAAGAGGCTCCTCATCAGTCAACAGGAGTATTCATTTATCACCAGCCTCTCAAGTACTTACAAGGCGAGGGTTGGGCAGCACAAGGAAACAGCAGCCAGTGACTTAAAAGCCAGCCAGCAACACACCCCAAACAGCCAACTTACAACAGGTACTATAAATACTACACACAGGACAGCACATACTCTGCCACAGAGAAGTTCTCTGTGCATGGGTTCCAGCATGAGTCCGAAAGCTCAGAAAACAAAACCTCTGGTCCCGGTGACCAAGCCAGATTAGATCCTAAACAAAATGAATTTCTTGGCTATATATATAATTGAAACCCAACAGGCAAGAGAGAGCAGAAAAACTAAGTCTTTACTCTCAAAGATCATGTTGACACTAACCAATGGATCAGGTGGTATAAATTAGAGAAATAGTATTTCTATGCTGTCTCCCAATTTTAAAAATTCAGAGTAAATTCTTGATTAGCCAATAAACTTACATTGTATTTTCTTCAAAGCAGTACTAATTTACTACCATTATGGGGTGCAAAATAATAATATAATTATTCAATATGTTGATTCCTTATTTTAATCTTCCCCAACATGGAGTCTTCCAGAGATTCAGAGGACTACAAATTACCAATTTAAATATATGCTGGCTATGCAGTCTGAAAGGATTCCACAAGCCTTTCGAGCATGGATCTCCAAACCTGGTAACCTAAAGACTTACGGACTTCAACTCCTAGAATTTCCCAGCCAACAATAAGAGAATGTGAGACCAAGTTTCTCCAAATCCCTCTTGTAACCTACTCACCATAAGGGCACGGTTGCTTTTTGTGTTCTGGAATAACTGGCTTTTTCCTTAAGAAGTTTTCAAGACTAGGGCCATGGCGTCCCAATGGATCATCAGGTGGCATAAACCTAGAAAAATAAAGCATTGTCAAATTTAATTTCTATTTGTTACTTCTTGTCCTGTCCGCAGGTGCTTTGGAAAATGAAAGACATGACAGTCTTCCAATATTTAAGGAGCTGTGACAGAGAAATAGGGGTCAACCTATTCTCCAAAGCATCGGAGGACAGGAGAAGAAGTAACAGTTGGGAAATCATTAAAAAGATCCAGCCAAGAACTTAGGAGAAATTTCCTGTCAGTAGGAACACTTAATCAACGGCTTGCTTCCAGAAGCTGTGAGGGCATCATTGTTGGAGGTTTTTAAGAAGAGACTGATTACAGCCATTCTTCCAGAATTGTGTACGCCAAGGGTGTCAAACTTGTTATCGTCATGGGGCATATCACAAATTTTTTCCTTTACTAAAATGGGTGCGGGCTGCAAGTTTGAAACCCCTGGTATAGGGTCTCCTGATTTAAGCAGAGGGTTGGTCTAGAAGACCTCCAAGGTCCTTTCCAATTCTGTTGTTCTGCAATCTATAAAGTAACCAGCTTCTAGTGGGTAAGAAGATCACACAATATTCTTAAGATTAAAATTGGCCATGACACAGATTTATTTATTGTACATAGTGCATACTGAATACAGACTTATGGTGATTTAAAATACTGTTGCTGAGTCTCAAACCAGCAGCCTTTACTAAGAAGCCAAGATCAAAACCACTTTTGTGGTTTAGTAGTAGCGAATTCAGAAAGCTTCTGCCAATCACTTTACTTTCCAAAAAGTAAAAGATAACTGAAGAACAAGCAAAAACTGCTAACCGAAAATCTAACAGGATTTTCCCACTAAAGAGGAAAAAATGTTATTCTAGCTTAGAATTATGGAGAGAATAAGAATTGAGGACTATAGAGAACAAATGTTTAAATCAGTTAACTACTATTTCCGTCATCCACAAGCATCAATTCTTGACCATGCTATTTTCAAATAGAGGTAGTCCTCAAATTCATTTAGTGACCGTTTTGAAGTTGCAAATGGCACTGAAAAAAGTCATTTATGACCATTTTCAAACAACCATTGCAACATCCCCATGATCACGTGATCAAAATTCAGCCGCTTGGCAAGTGGTTCATATTTATGATGGTTGCAGTGTCCCAGGGTCACATGATCCCATTTTGTGACAACCAAATTCAATCTGGAGGCCAGATTCACTTAATAACCATGTTACTAACTTAACAACTACAGTGATTTACTTAACAACTGTGGCATGAAAGGTTGCAAAATGGAGTGAAACTCACTTAACTGCCTTCCTTAGCAACATAAATTTTGGACTCAATTGTGATGATAAGCCGAGGACTATCTATAATGAGAATTGGACCCACACAAAAAGAAGAGGAAATCTCTCTAAGGAAGATTTGTGCACAGCAGATGAGGGGAAATTGCGTACTTGTCATTTACAAAGGAATACATAAGCAGCCGTTCCTCTATGAATTTCTTCCACTCTGGTTTCTCATTCTGAAGGTCCCGGTAATTGTCATTGGACACAATAATGCCATCAGACTCATAGGCCAACTTCAATATAAAGCGGTCATCATAGCAGACGACTCGTCTCCCTTGCACTCTCCGTGACGGGGTGAAAACAAGAATTTTTTCCTTCTCCAATCTGTGCAAGATTTCTTGGTCTGCAAAATTGGATTTACATAAGAATGTTAAGTTCAAGGTATTTGGATAAAGAGCATTTATTACGGTTTGTTCACTGTTGGCAGTTATATAACTATAGGGATTAATGTGACCCATTTGGTTCATTGACTTTATTTAATTCTTTTAGTTCAGGATGCCATAACTTTTCTTCAAGTTCTAGATCACACTTGGCTTTAAAAATAAAAAGTAGGCTTGAATTTATTTATATTTAAACTTAGTTAATACTTTATACATTATGTATGCAATCATGTTTCAGTTTCTCACATCAAAACAAGTACTTTTTGACAAGATCATTTTCTCTGGGGCCAGACGCAAAGTTTTGAGAGCTCGTGTAGCAGACCAGTGGCTTAGTTGCTATAGAATCTAAGTTACATTTAAGGATTCCAAAATAATTTTACAGAATTTACATATATTTATATATTTAACATTTCCAGTTCATATCACAGTCATTATTTCCCCACGCTATTAAGTTTTTGTCATAATATATAGAATATTTTAAAGAAGATATTAAGGGTGACTGGGGGATGTGTGGCTTGCTGATTGGGCATGGCTTGGTGGTCACATGATTGGCTGGAGTGGCTTGGTGGTCATGTGACTGGGTGGGTGTGACCAACTCAATGTCACTAACATCAAGGGATGCCTCACCTGGCCCCTCCCCTCCCAGCCATTCCTTGTCACACCCAGCCTCAACTTATCTATAGTTCTGTAAAAATGTTGTTCATCTTTTTTTAACTTTATTATCTATATACTATAGATGTGCTTTCTTGGACCACTGAAAGGAGGAAATGGCTCACATGCTTTGCTCAAGAGGCAAGAGGCTTTTAAGGGGCTGCCAGAAAGAAAGGGGGACAATGTATTTTCCAAAGGACCAGAAGGCAAGCAAGAAGCAATGGATGGAAACTGAACAAAGAGAGAAGCAAACTAAGACTAAGGAGAAACTTCCTGGCAGAAGTGGAACTGCTTGCCACTAGAAGTTCTGGATGCTCCAACACTGGAGGTTTTTAAGAAAAGACTGCACAGCCATTTCTCTGAACTGGTAGGGTTCCCCTCAAGGTCCTTTCTAAGCGTTATTTTGTTATTCTGACACCTTTCCCAGGACCTCTACTCAGAGTTTGGCATCCTCAGTTTTCCCGCCTGAGCAGGAGGTTGGACTAGAAGACCTCCAAGGTCTCTTTCAACCTTGTTAAACACACATGTATTTATGCCTCTGGACTATAGACGTTGAATGCATATATTGTAAACCTTGAAAAATACCTGGGAAAAAGAAAGGCAGTAAAATCACTCTAGGTATAGGGACAGTGTAAAATATTAATATATGATAAATAATGGAACAATTAAAATAATAGCACAGTTTTCTCTCCCCCCCTTCCTCTTTCTTTCTTTCTTTCTTTCTTTCTTTCTTTCTTTCTTTCTTTCT